ACTCCTAAATGTAGCTGTCTCTTCTACTCCAATAGCTTCATGTCTCGCACCTCTCTCCTGTGGAACTCCCTTCCCTATTCCACTTTCCCTGAGAGCTATAATCTCCAGCTATTCAAATGTAATGTCAATCGACATCTCCAGTTGCCTTGATCTATCCACTACCCTTCTCCTAATCCTTTCTTCTATCACTCCTGTCTGATCTTGCTCCAAATTTTTCTGTAACCCCTTGCGTCCTAGTGGCTTCTCGCCTTGCTTGGGGTGAAACGCTTAAAAATATATATATATATATATCTGTCTCTTTCGCCATTAAGTCTATGCCCCCTTTCCTCTTTAACTCCACTTCTCTATCCACAACACGGCAGAAGAAGAAGGAGGAGGTGAAGGAGGAGGAGGAGGAGGTGAAGGAAGAGGAGGAGGAAGAAGCAAGTAAGCAAGGGTATTATAAATGTATCGGTGAGGGTTTAATAGAAATGTACATATTTTTTTGCTATGTGCTTAGGAGGATTTTTTTGGTATGTATGTAAGGATTCATGACTTGGGTTTCCTGGTTCAATATCTCTCTTTTCCCATTCCTTTTCTCTCTCGCTACATCTCTCACCGATTCTGTTTCTTTCTCCTTCTCCCTCTTTTTCTCTATCACCATCCTCATGTCTTTCTATCTTTCCGTCTCTTATCCTCGTCTATCCCCATCCTCCTTTTCTATCCATTTCTCTTCATTCCATTTTCTCTGTTGATTCCACCCTCTCTCATTCCATTTCCATTTTCTCTCCAGTTCTTTTTCTCTATATGTCTTCATCCCATTTTCTCCGTTTATTCCCCCTCTCTCTACATCTATCTATCTACTTTCATTTCTCGCTATCTGTTTCCCTACGTAAATCTTTCTTTTCAATATCACCGTCTCTCTCTCTCTCTCTCTCTCTCTCTCTCTGCATATATATATATATATATATATAATTCCAGCTTATGTAAGAGCGTTTCCCCTTGCGAAGAGTGGTTAATTGATTTGAACCTTTTAAAACCCTTTATTCTAAATTCAACGCCATCACTTGATAAGACACCAGAGGAGTTGAAACAAAATGGCTATTTTTGTAGGGATTTTATAACATATTTATGTTATAATTTTCGGATAAAAAATTATAATTGCTCTACTCTGTATTGAGCACTCTTTTAAGAATAGTAATTGTTGGTTATTGGAATTTATTTCGTATACACCAATCCTATACTTGGGTATATATATATATATATATATATATATATATATATATATATATATTATTTATCGATTTCTCTCTCGCATTCTTCCTTACATTCTTTCTTTAATTCTTTCTCACTTGACCCCTATATCTCTTACACTACTACACACTCTCTCTTTCTCGTTCTCTTCTTTTATATCTCTTTCTACATATTCTATCTCTCTCGCTCACTTCTCTCTTCATTTAGTTCACTCAGTCTCTGGTTTACTGTCTCTCTCTCTTTCTCTCTCTCTCTTTCTTTCTCTCTTTCTTTCTCTCTTTCTCTGCTTATTGATTTTCCAGTTTCTCCCTTTTTGCCTCTTTCAATCACTCTCTGTCCCTTTCTTTCACGCCGCTTCTTACTCAGTTTTGCTCAAATTAACTCCCTTTCTTTTTCTAATTGTTCCTTCTATTCTTTACTTCAATTTATAAAGGTATAAATAAACTCCTATATTTGATATAAAGCATAACAGAAAAGTAAAAAGAGATGAAAACAAATTTTTATAACACATGGAACAATAAATAAAATTCTTCCATGCAACGAACCACCCAGAGAAACAAATGTCAAATACCCGGTCCTAAGGTAAATATCAAGATTTGGTCGTTATCATCAAGAGTTTAACGTTCCGGCCTTCTTCAGGTGGTTGGAATATCGAACTGAACCCTTTACTTAGCTCACTGGGGTAGACTGTTCTAGTTCCACGTGCCATGTTTAATGGATGTCAGTTATCAGTTATCTCCTGTTAATTTCCCTCTGAAAGTTCTCCACTGCCTTAACTGGGTATTGAACTCACACTCTTTGGGTCCTGTCACTGGATCGAATCAACGTCTTTATCGACTGTGCAATGTGTCCTTGAGGACAACTGTGTATGAAGAGAGAAGGGAGATAACCGCCCACTGTGGGATCAGGTTGAGATCATAGACTTTGAAAACCATTGGAAAATTCGTAAACTTAAGGTATCAGCACATATGCTCGGACACAAAAATCTCCTGAGCCGACCAAGCATAGAAATGAATGCAATGTGGGAACCAGTAATAAGGAGTACCAGAGAAAAGCGATAATAACAACAAAAATTGCAATATGAGCACTGGTAAAAATGGTTGCTGAAGACATTAGGTTTATATTACCCAGAAATTCACACACAGATGTCCCCAAGGTCACATGGCACAGTGGATAAAGACGTTGGCTAGATCCAGTGACAAGACCCAAAAGTGTGAGTTCAATACTTTCAGAAAGGAATTAACAGGAGATAACTGATAACTGACATCCATTAAACATGGCACGTGGGACTAGAACCCCAGTGAACGAAAATAAAGGGTTCAGTTCGACATTCCAACCAGCTGAAGAACGTTATAATAAATATGGCAACAAAGAATGAGAATGATAGTCCAAGCAATGTAAATAGTGTACATAATACCTCATCTCAGAAATATAGACAGATACTAAAAGACCGAAAATATGAGGACAATAGTCCGAATAATGTAAATAGTGTACATAATACCTCATCTCAGAAATATAGACAGATAGTAAAGTAGCAGACACAATCAGGTAAGCAAATATTATAACATGTTTAGTCTTGTTGCTTTCATTCCCGGTGTATTCTGGTGTCCTTGCTAATAAAAAATAAATAACAACAGACGTTTTTCTAAAGCTGTTCATCATTATATCCACGGTCCGCCCAATTGATCGAGATGCCGACCATGACTTCCTTCAGAGCTCGAAAGTCATACAGTAACCACTCCGACGACTCACTTAGTTCTATACATCCCCATACTAAAACTATTCTTGGCCTAATCACCACCCCCAAGGATACTACCAAATCCAACACCAACCCCCCATATGCATCTGAGAGCAAATTATCTTAGATATACCCTGAAGGCTTTTCAGGTATGACTGTATTCTAAAACACGACCAACCACACCACCGCGACCATCACGAATTATTCCCAGTTCGGTAAAATTGTGACGGCTGTTCCAATGTTCCAGGCGAACCCTCCACCCCAACCCAACACACACAGACACACACACACACACGCTCTCTCTCTCTCTCTCTCTCTCTCTCTCTCTCTCTCTCTCTCTCTCTCTCTCTCTCTCTCAAACACACACACACATTCTCTGCCGATGGTAATGGTGTGTTTTCACGTGCGTCACCTCATTTTCTAAACATGTCTTGACTGTCAGTGAAGTCCCTTTTAAGAGACTAATAGAATTTTAAGTGTCAAAATGACGCTAATAGAGTTGAGAAGACGTTTCAGTTGCGACCTCCTTGCTTCATTCTATCTTTGGGAATTGGAATTGGATTTGTTTTCTGTGGGCTTTTGACTTCTCTACTCAATTTAAAAGAATCATTATTATTATTATTATTATTATTATTATTGTTGTTGTTGTTGTTGTTATTTCCTTTGTTCTCCCTGACCATGCGGTCTTCCTGTCAGGACCAAGGAAGGATATGATGAAATTAAAAATCAACAACAAATATTGTTTCTTTATTTTGTTAAATCTAATTATTTATTTGACTCCAGCTTATTAAAATCATAATTGCTATTACCCGAACACTCACAGACGATGTACTGTTCGTTGTTAAAATTATTTTATTCATCATTATGTTCTCTTATTCTTATATTCTCTCATTATTATTCTTGCTTTTTATCACAACATTGTAAACGTTCTTCTCCATTATTTTTTATCATTATTATTATTAACAAATACAGCCAGTTTGACTGGAGATACAACCAAATTACGTTTAAATTCATCCGGTGAAGGACATCAAGGAGGAGAACTCCTTAGGACAATTGTTATGAAATTATTTATAGAAAAGACAAAGGGAAGTCACGTGACCGTGATAGGAGAGTGAGTGAAGTAGAGATGCCAGGTCAAGACCGATAACATAACAAATCATTCTTTGAATTTTGTCAAGAATCTCTAGATATGTAGCGAGAATACTTAAGAGCACCAGATCAGATGTGGCAAGAATATTCAACGAAATGTAGATTTCTAAATGTGCAAGATGAATTCTGGCGACAGAAATGGTCTGACTTGACACAGCGAATCGACTTTCCTGGTAGCAGACAAAGCAACTGTTTCAATATAATCTTTCCACTTCATGTCAGTGGAAAACATGAGAAGAAGAAGGTTTAATGAGTTGCTCTCCTGTGGGTTAGCATCAGCCATGCTGATGGAAGGCAAAAAAAAAAGGTGCAAAGAGGTTCTCTCCTGGTTTTCCATGATAGATGCTTCAACGTTCAGCCAGTTCAGTTTTTACAAACCCGCTATGGCATATACACAGGGGTGAACCACTTCCGTATTCCAGTTGTAATCTTCTTCTGCTCTATGGAACATACTCCCGATACTATGTTCCCTAAAATAACGGCTCTTGTCAGCAATATTCCATTTTTCTAGAAGTGCCATGTACTATTTTGGGGAGATATAAGGAGTCGATCATTTTCCTAGCATCTTTAGATGGATCGGATATGTGTTCCACTTGAGGATCGGGATGACCTTGAGCTCCAGCAGGCATTCAAAGTAATAACTTCTCTTTGAAAGAGCAAACATTCATGGCGACTGGTGAGAATTTAGGGCCAGCTCGGTAATGGTGAAAGTTTAGGTGCTTAGTTTTTTGAAGTATTGAAAGTGACATGCTACCACAACCCATTTAGCAATTAAAGAAAATGTTATGGTAATTTAGACGCATGGACTCTCCCAAATATAAATAGGAGCAGGTACTCTGACAGTCCCGAACATTCTTACTTTGGATATGATAGATAGTATTTATAGATAGATAGATAGATAGATAGATAGATAGATAGATAGATAGATAGTGTTATGGTAATTTACACACGCACGCATGGACTCTCCCAGCTATAAATAGGAGCAGGTACTGCTTTTTGGAGAGGGAAATTTCCAGCAGTCAGCTCTGACAGTCGGACCGAACATTCTTACTGTAACACTCTCGTTTGTATATGTTTGTATTACTGTTTCTGTTAATAGATTTGTTTAACTCAATTCCTCTCTTTTTGTCTTTATTACTGGCCCCTAACAAGGCTACAACAGAAGAGTTAAAGGAGATATCAGCTGCAAGGGTCTGGTCATCTAGAATTTTTGAGGTGCACCCATAAACTGTGGTTTCACTAAAGCGATGCTTAGGAAACAGGAAATGGTGGGAAACTGTAATGAGTTCGACTTGCAATGTGTGACCAGTTAATGTGGCTTTGTAGCAGTACAACTTAAGTTTAAGCAATAATTAACAAGCAACACTTGATTTAATGCACAACCATATAGCTTTCATTCTTTATTTAGTTTTTACTATTTAGATTTTCATAGAAACTGGCAGGTTTTGTTGTATGTGATTCAGTTCAAATGATGGCACTGGTGCATTCAGTATCCACCATGACAGATAGGGCCTCCTAGCTGCCAGATGCATATCTGCACCTTCATTAGTTGTCATTGACTTCCCTCGACATGTAATCGTATGCTTAAATCAGCCGCAATTAGAATTTGCACAGATGAAACAAAACGGATGATAGGATAAAGAACGGAGTCTCTTATTTCCTGGGGAGATATAGACTCTACATTCGGAGAAAGCTCCAAAACCACACACCCTCTCGCCAAAATTTGGAGCTGAATAAGGAATAATGTTATGACGGATTTCGTTTCGTTTTCATATTAATCTGTGCGACGATAATGATGTCGAATTTGCTCGAATATGTATAATTATGAAATTAGATTTTATCAAAATTTAGAAATTACAACGACTCAAAATATTTTTGAAAAATACCATTTGGCAAGACTGATCAGTCAAAACAAATTCGCTAGAACGGTACAAAAAACTAGTAAAATAATAATACATACGGTAATTGTGAGTAAAATCCCTAAGCCGGATCGTGTCGACTTAAATGAAGTGGAAAAAACCGAGCAATAACTGATCAGCACTAAAATAAAAGCTAGACGAGATATCCCTAGACATGGGCAGTGGAACAAGAACAATCTACCCCCGTAGATTAAATAAAGGGTTCAGTAGTGAAGTTTACCCGGATCGACAGCGACCTGATCAAGGTTGAGATTACAATGGCGGAAATGTTGGGAAAATAGTTCGTATGTTAAATAATAACTCCTGGTCCTAGAAAATGAGAGTGAGACTTTCATCTTTGTTTTCTATTTATATTTCTTTTTTATTTATTTCTTTAAAAAGAACTTCCCATCTACTCTACTCAGACTGACGCTACATTCTAAGGGAACTATTTAACCCACCAATCCGAGTCCACGAGCCAAGATTCTACAGCTTGTTAGCCTAGATTCATCCTCCGAGATGTGTAACTATACAGCTAATTCCACATAAACATTTCACGTCATTAAGTTAAAGATTTCAAAAAGTGAAATAAATAAATTCATCCGAAATATTTTATATAAAATGTGGCAAAATATCACAGAAAGCCAAGAAAAATATTTTGAAGGCTGAATAATGATGCCATGAATTTATATAAATAAAAAAAAAAACATTGTTAAAATAATGCCAGTGACTATGAAAATCTATATACCGGAATAAGATATAATAAGGACAAAATGAAAAAAAAAATCTCCTAAGTAACGGATTTTCTATGGAGAGAGAACATTTTCAAAGTACAGTAGAATCCCTCATATCCGGAATCCCTCATATCCGGAATCCCACATATCCGGACATGACTTTAATGTGTATATTTGAACTATTTGGGTGATATGTAACTGATTTGAAATTTCCATTTTTCAAGAAATTTACTTTGGATAATTGCTTATGCTTATTTCATCCTAATGGCTTGTATTTATGCAAAATATGATGGGAATAAGAGGAAAAGAACAACATTGGAGTTGTCGCAAAAAGTGGAAATTTTAAACAGACTAGACGCTGGTGAAAGTTCATTGTAACTAATGGCCGAGTTCAACATAGGAAAGTCAACATTGTATGATATAAAATCTTCCAAAAAAACTATTCTCCAGCATTCACACTGTTACAATGAACACGGAAATAAAAAAAAACATGATTGTGACGAAACCTGGACTGAAAGCTATTGAAAAGGTTGTCAGTTTTATGGAAAGAAAGCCAGCATTCAGCTATGATGATTGCAATAACGCACGCAGAATTAAAAAGTGCCTTTCGTTTAAAAAAATTCAAGAACAGAACTAAAACGAAATGCTGAAAAAGTTGAGAATGACATTAGAAGAAAAAGAATCATTATGCATAAATTGTAACAAAGAAAATGTTTTATATAAAGTTTCTTGTACAAAGCTGGTAGTACAATATCAGTTCTTTATGTAGGAATATATGTTTTTCATGCAGGAATATATTTGTCATGCAAAATCATTCGACCCTCTTCCTTTTTTTTCGAATATTTCGTGATACTTTATTCGTCGAAACTAAGTCTAGGCCAGGTTTCTGGAATACAGCGCAAAATCCGAGGTCTTCTTCAGCGACAGGAAGTCACGTGAATTTGGTGAAGCGGTCATCTCATTATCAGTGATAAGTCAAAAATAGTCAGAGAAAAGGCTAGATTAAGAGTAATCACCCATCAAAAAGTGTTCAGAGCCATTAATATACACTGATCAACATGATTTTTGGTGTCGAGAATCAAAACACGTTTTTTTAGCTAATTTGATGGCGCTGATTCCGAAATGATCTTAGTTTTTCTTTGTTAGCTACTATTTTTGCTGTACTGAAATTTCTCATTTTTGGAAAAAAAGATCAATTTACGATCTTGGCTGATCGCAAAATTTAGTTAATAAATGTTATAGAAACCCATCGATTTTTAAGCAGGCCGAACAGTTTATGTCAGTCACCAGAAATAAATTATTTTTATAGGGAAAAAGTGTTTTTGAGAAAAAACTTTTAAAATAGTACCGAATTTTTCTAATTTATCGCCAAAGTTCAAATTAATTAATAGACTTTATAAGTAATAGACTTTAGTAAACCTGATAATTAAGATGACATAAAAAAATGAAACCCTAAAATCTTCTGTTTGATATTCATAAATTTATCCCAACACTTTTACCCTTCACTACGGAAGGAAACCAAGCACATTGAGAGCATTTTGTTTTCAGATTTGGAAAGAAACTCAAACTAAAGATATCTCAATTGAATGCACCTATTCCATTGTACATGACGCTACTGGAATATCAAAAGGGACTTAAATAACATTGAACATGACAATCAAGAAAGACAAAATGTTTAACATAGTTTTTATGTCCACGAATATTTTATTTCTGCTGTTAGTTTATTAAATGATTTGATGAAAATATTTGTTGGTCTTTGTATATTCAATCGTGTTATTTTTAAAGACTTAGGGTCTGATTGTTATTGCAAAAATAATATTTCCCAATAAGCAGACCAATATCTGTCTATATTTCTGAGATGAGGTATTATGTACATTATTTACATTATTCGGACTATTGTCCTCATCTTCTTTTGCCATAATTATTACAACGTTTCGGCCGTTGTACGCTCCGGTCTTCTTCAGGTGGTTGGAATGTCGAACTGAACCCTTTATTTCGCTCACTGGGGTAGACTGTTCTAGTTCCACGTGCCATGTTTAATGGATGTCAGTTATCAGTTATCTCCTGTTAATTTCCCTCTGAAAGTTCTCCACTGCCTTAACCCGTTATTGAACTCACACTCTTTGATTACAGTCACTGGATCTAACCAATGCCTTTTATCCACTGTGTCATGTGTCCTAGTTTTATTTCTGTTGTTAGTTTATAAAATGTTTTGATGAAAGCACTTCTTGGTCTTAGTATATTCAATCGTGTTATTTTTAAAGACTTAGGTTCTGATTGTTATTGCAAAATAGTATTTCCCATTAAGCCGACTAATATTTATTGGTTTACATACGAATTGAGAGGTCTCTACGATTTTATTTTGAGAATGAAAACCATCGGCCAATGTCATGACAAATGAAAAAATGCTTTTTTTTTTTTACAAAAATGAAGCATTTCTGTACAGCAAAAATGGTAGCTCAACAAGTGATATGATCTGCATTGGCATTAGTTGCAAAGTTAATAAAGACACTTTGTAATATAAAGGTAAAAAGGTCGAAAAACCTTAAGAAAATTAAAGGGCCAGAGCGCCACTTGACTTTCTCCATAGACGGACACGGGAAGAAGATATTTCACCCACAGAGCTATCCTTAACATTTGGTGTAACAAGTGTTCTTTTAGTAGAGGATGTTGCTGCTGTTTTAGAAGAATTTAAACAGCGTAAGTTCCATTAAGGCTGTTTTTGTGGACAGTTCCAGTAGAAACACTGGTTGTAATCAGAGCTTGTTTTCTGTAGAGAAAATAAAAATCTTGAAAGAAAGTTGAACACTATTGTCTTCTTACTTCCGCAAAATGAATTTTCATTTTGAGCTGTTTTAAGTACATTAATGACATTACAAGAAGTTCTACTACTTTTACTGGTCCTCTAGAGAAACTTTGCAGAAATGATTACCAGGATTTGCCCCAGATAGAATATAGCACTATCAATCACTTTGTAGATAACTTCTATCTTACTGCAGAGATAATGGAAGATTTAAATGGCTAAAGACTGCCCTTAGAATATGCAGCAGGAATTTCTCGAGGGAAAGTGAACCCTAGATTTGCTGCCTGGGTTTTTAAATCAAGCAAGATGGCTAACGTTAGTCATCAGGTTTTCATGGACCAGAGGTGCTCCTTACAAAATTTATAATTAAAATATATGCAGTTAGTTGGTTTGAAATTAAAATAAATAATAAATTCCATAACCAACAAGTGGATAACTTCAACATAAACAAGAAAATAAATCAACAGTCAACAGAAATACATAATTAAAAAAATTTACATCGCAAAAATATTTTTTGTTTCAGAAGTAGCGAGCC